ATTAAAGGCGTGTGCCACCAACACCCGGCCATAAAGGCTTATTTTTTAAAGATTCACTTATTTATGTGTGGGGGTGGCTGTAGGTGCCTTTTGAGGACAAAAAGGGACATGACATCTCCTGGAACTGTAGTTATAGGCCACTGTGAACCACCTCATGTGGTCGCTAGGAACCAAACACGGGTCCTCTATAAGAAATGACTATGCTCAGCTGGGCAGTGGTGGTGCATGCCTTTCACCACAGAACTCTGGAGGGAGACAGAGGCGGATCTCTGTGAGTTCAAGGCCAGCTTGGTCTACAGGACAAGTTCCAGGACAGCTTCCAAAGCTACAGAGAAACCCTGTCTTAAAAAAACCCAGTAATAATAATAATAGAAATGACTATACTCTAAACATTGAGAAATTCCCTCAGCCCATAAACCAGTGTTTCTCAATCTGTGTGTCTTGCCACATTTAGGAGGGTCGCCTGAGACCATAGGAAAACACTGATATTCGCATTACAATTCATAAGAGTAGCAAATTTGGGGCTGGAGAGATGGCTCAGCAGTTAAGAGCACTGACTGTTCTTTCAGAGGTCCTGAGTGCAATTCCCAGCAACCACATGGTGGCTCCCAACCACCTTGAATGACATCTGGTGCCCTCTGCTGGCATGCAGGCAGAAGACTGTATACATAATAAATAAACTCTTTAAAAAAGAGAGAGTAGCAAAATTATAGTCATGAAGTAGCAACAAAACTAATTTTATAGCCGGCAGTGGTGGCACACGCCTTTAATCCTAGCACTCTGGAGGCAGAGTCAGGTGGATCTCTGTGAGTTCGAGACCAGCCTGGTCTATAAGAGCTAGATCCAGGACAGCCTGTGAAAGTCACAGTGAAACCCTGTCTCAAAAAACAAAAACCAAAAAATATTATGGTTGGGGTCACCCCAGCATGAGAACTGCTCACAGTTTCACAGCATTGTGAAAATGGAGAACAGCTGTCCTAAGGATTTTTACACCCTACAGTAGTGCTGCTCTCAAACTCAGTCAGAGAAGCTTCTCTTTGCAGGGGGCAGATGTTAATATGAGACTCAACTGGTCAAAATGCTTAGGCCTAAATGGCATACGTCCATCACACTCCTGCCCTCAAGAACATGACAGGAGAGGTGGAGTGAACGCCAGACCCAGAAAGTCAGAAAGAGTGCTGTGAAATGCAGGCATATGGCTATTGTGCACAAGATCAAGCCAGTGAGATTGCCATATAGACAGGGGAGGGGCTTGTAAGGCCCACTCTTAACTGAGGAACTACTGGCATGATGGTTGCAGGAGAGAGCAGACTTGTTTTCTTTGAAGTCTGGTTACCTGTGATCCAATGGGTGGCGCCACACAAAAGCTCTTTTAGGTCACACTATTCACACTCATACTTTGTGCTAAAGTGTTTTCTCTGTACAAAATGTGTTTCTTGTGTGTGCCTGGAGCTATGGGCTTTATAAACATATATATGCTCGTGCTTGTGCCCGTGTTTGTGTGTGTGTGTGTGTGTGTGTGTGTGTGTGTGTGTGAGTGTGTGTATTATTTTTAAAAGATGTGAGGGCCAGGAAGGTGCTTGTTGTCTACACTAATGACTTGTTTCAATCCCCATGACATATATCATGGAAAACAAAAACAAAAAACCAAAAAACCCCACCTCCTCCAGGTTGTCCTCTGACCTCCACAGACATACTATGGTACCAAGTACCCGCACATGAACAAGTGAATAAACTCTCCTGAGTGGAGTTTAGATACTAAAGGATTTAGTGGGGGGACTGGAGAGACGGCACAGCTGTTAAAGCACTACCTGCTCTTGCAGAGGACTAGAGTTTGGCTTCCAGCTCCCACACAGGTTGCTCACAAGTACCTATAAGGCCAACTCTGGTATCTTCTGGGGCTTGAGGGCACTGACACATGCACACTCATACCTCTGCTCCTCCGCCCACAGATAGAATGAAAATATATATATATTTATATATATTGTTTTGTTTTTCGAGACAGGGTTTCTCTGTGTAGCTTTGGAGCCTATCCTAGCACTCGCTCTGGAGACCAGGCTGGCCTCGAACTCACAGAGATCTGCCTGCCTCTGCCTCCCCAGTGTTGGGATTAAAGGTGTGGGGCACCAATGCCCAGCTTCAAAATAAATCTTAAGCTAAAATGTGCATCACTGGATACAGGAACCAAGGCCCTCACCACTGTATCTAGGCTAAGCAAAGCAATCTCTGCATTGGGAACGGCTCCAAAAAGCCATGCACCTGGGATAAATACTGGTTCCCCTGCTAGTATCCCCACAAACTGTCCAAGCCACCCAACTGTCACCCACATTGAGAGGGCCTAGTTTGATCTTATGCAGGTTCCCCAGTTGTCGGTCTGGAATCCATGAGCTCCCACTTGCTCAGGTCAGCTGTTGCTGTGGGTTTCCCCAGCCTGGTCTTGACCCCCACTCTGGAGGCAGAGGCAGAGGCAGGTGGATCTCTGTGAGTTCGAGACCAGCATGGTCTACAAGAGCTAGTTCCAGAACAGCCACCAAACCACAGAGAAACCCTATCTCGAAGAAAAAAAAAAACAGGGGGAAAAAAAAGAAACTAAAAGGTGCAACTTCATGTGATGGTTCACTCATCCAAGAAGAGGAAAGGCAGAGGCGGGCCTTGGTGGTGCAGGCCTTTGATCCCAGCACTCAGGAGGTGAATCTCTGTGAGTTCAAGACCAGTCTGGTCTACAAGAGCTAGATCCAGGACAGCCTCCAAAGCCAGAGAAACTGTCTCCAAAAACCAAAAATAAAAATAAAAATAGAAAAAGAGGCAGGATTGTGATGCTACCATAGTTGGATTCTGTCAGAATGAGAGATTCAAAGTGTTAAAGGAGCTGTTGCCTCCTGTCATTTGGAAACTGAAGCAAAGTTTGCTGGTGTTTTGAGACCAGGGTAATCTACGTAGCATGTTTCAGTCAGCAGATAACAACTCCCCCCCCAACCCACCACCCAAAAGCTAAAGCACCATAACAGGAAAAGCAAAAGCTCAAACCAGGTCCAGTGAGGTGGTTCATCTGGTAAAGACACTGGCCATCAAGGTTGACATCTGACTTTGATTCCCAGGAACCAGATAATTGAATAAGAGAACCCCATTTCTTCTGAGTTCCTCCATTATTGTAGTACATACTACCATTAAAAAAAAAAATGTGACTGAAAAGTAAAATGTGGGGGCTTGGAGATGGCTTAGTAGTCAAGACAAGTTGTTCTTCCAGAGGACATTAATTCAGCCCCAGCACCCTCAGACTGCCCACAACCACCTGTAACCCAGCTACAAGGTATCCAATACCCTTCTTCTGGACTCTTCTCACACAAATTTATATAAATTAGGTAGGGTCTCTCTCACTCTGCAGCAGTGGCCTGTCAGTAATTCAGATCCCCGTGCAGGCATGCACCACTATGCTAAGAACACTTTCTTTTGCAGAGAACAAATAGTTCCCAGTACCCACGCAGCAGCTTCTAATTACATGTAGCTCCAGTTCCATGGGATCTGATACCCCTCTTTGCAGCCCCCATAGGCACCAGGCATATTCAGGATACCACAAACACACAAGTGAGACACTCACAAAAGTCCTCAGGAAAATTAAAGTTGTTTAAATTTGGAGCTCCCCCAAAATGTAAGCATATGGAACTGTGCCTTAAACCTCAGTTCCTTTTCCTCCTTTGTTTATCCTGGATTACATCTGCAATACATCCCAGAGATTACCACAATCTCTAGATGGCACCCTTGGGTACAAATAGTCACACACTTGCGATTTGATGGATTCTCAAAAATCCTTGGGGCTTTGCGGTGGTGGCACTGGGGAGGCAGAGGCAGGTGATCTCTTTGAGTTTGAGGTCAGTCTGGTCTACAGATTGAGTTCTAGGACAGAGAAACCCTGTCTCAAAAAAAAAAATGCTTGGGAGAGAATGTTATTGTATCTATAACTAGTTTATTTTATCGGGAAGATTTAAAACTGTAAACCATGTTAATCGAGGTAGGAAAGACACAATTTCAGAACATGAGTTTGTAATCTCCATGCTGGGGTAACATCCTTATCTTGCTGTAACACACTCCTATGACAACTGCCCACAAACTTTCTCCCTCATCATGAATCTAGCATCAACTAACTTTTCCCTCAAGTTGCAGCATCAGTCTAAAACCATGTGCTGTATTTGTTTGTGTCCTCTGACCAGACACCTATGCCTTCTCCTAGAGTCCACAGAAAGCTTTTGGTAATTGCACGCAACTAGCCAATGAACCTCCGACACCTACACATTGACGTTTTGTTGTAGATATATCGATTGTTGCATCGATGGCAGCGGTCAGTACCAAAATAGATCCTCTCTGACCGCCAAAAGGTTTTCAGTATGCCAATAAGCTCATTGCAATGGTTGCGTGTGAGTTCCATATGGAGAGTGCCATTGTCTACATAGCAATCCCGGGGAACAGGATACAGCTCCCTGTATAGGTTTTCCAAGTTGGCAGTGCTGCGTAGCAGTCTCTTCAGAGCACCCATGGAGAGTGGGTTCCCATAGAAACTGAAGGTCCTGAGCTGGAGGCAACGGCTCAGCGCAGGTAAGATGGCATAAAGATAACTATCCTTAATGTGACAGTCCTCCAAGTTCAGGTCTACCAGGGTGTGTGCAGCTTTTACTAGCAGAATTCGGAGGGGTTCGGGACTTAAACTGGCCAATCTGACATTTTCCAAACTCAGGTGTTGCAACTGGCTGACACATATCAACTTAGAAAACTGATTCCACTCTGGTACTGAGATTGTACAGTGAGTCACTGCCAGGTCATCCAAGGGGGTCTTCAGGGACCTAATGAGGAAAACAGACAGTCCTTAGAACTGATGACTAATGCAGAAGGACAGTGTGGGTCAAGGTATTTCTAACTGTATGGCTGACCAGGACCCATGACATTATGTGATTGTCTCTACACACTAAACTCTGTACGAGGCCTGTCACCAACTGCAATTTCCCTCACTGTCAAGAGAGACCCAAATGCTGGCCAGACTAGCAGGGTCCACACAGGAAGGACCCAGAAGGATCAATCCAGGAAAGATGCGGCAAGAGCCTTGCAGGACCCAATGCCCACCATCCCCTCAAGCACTTCCTCCTCTCTCCGCTCCTTCCTTTGTGCTCCACCTTTGCATCTCTCCTTCAATTTCACTGCCACACATTGCCAGCACAGGCTTAAGAACAAAAGTAGGTATGTCAACCAGGTGGTGGTGATCATTGTTAATCCTAGCACTCTGGAGGCAGAGGCAGGTGGATCTTATTGAGTTGGAGGCCAGCCTATCTCCATAGTAAGTCCCAGGACAGCCAGGGTTACATAGCTAGATCCTGTCTCTGAAAGAAAAAAAAAAAAAGCTGGGTGTGGTGGTACACACCTAATGTTGACAAGAGAACCAGAGTTCGGCCAACCTGGGCAACATAGTAAGATTTATTATGCATTCGGCATGCTGTCTGCATATGCCTGCAGGCCAGAAGACACCAGATCTCATTACGGATGGCTGTGAGCACCATGTGGTTGCTGGGAATTGAACTTCGGATCTCTGGAAGAGCAGACAGCACTTTTAACCTCTGAACCATTTCTCCAGCCCAAGAAGTCATTTTTAAAAGACCATCCCAAAAACGAAAACAAACAAAAAAGCCGGGCAGTGGTGGCTCACGCCTTTAATCCCAGCACTCAGAACTCGGGAGGCAGAGGTAGGCAGTTTCAAGGTCAGCCTGTTGAATTCCAGGACAGCCAGGACTGTTTCCCAGACAAACCCCATTTGGAAAAAACAAAAACAACAGACCATCTCTGCTGGGTGGCGGTAGCCTTTAATCCTAGCACTTGGGAAGCAGAGTTCAAGGCAACCCTGGTTTACAGGGCAAGTCCCAGACCAGCCAAAGATAGAGAAACCCTGTCTCTGAGAAAAAAAAAACAAAAAAAAAAAACAAACAAACAAAAACCCAGTCCATTTCAGGGTGACACTGTGTAGTAGATTAAGGCACCGAGGCCGACACTCTGCTTTTGATCCTTGTGATCAATATGACAGGAGAAAACTGAAAACTGCAAGTTGCCCTCTGGCCTCCACAAGCATGCTGGGTCTCTCCCTCCCCACTGCCCTGAGACACAACAGTAGGCAACAAGTGGATGTCCTCAAGTGAGGCCAACCTTGTCTACAGAGCAAGTTCCAGGTCAGGCAGGGCTATACAGAGAAATACTGTCTCAAAAAAAAAAAAAAAAAAAAAAAAAAAAAAAGTAGGGGCTGGAGCTCAGTAGTTAAGAGCATTTGCTGTTCTTGGAATGGATATGGATTCAATTCCCAGCACCAACAAGGTAGCTCGGGATCCCCCAAACCAGTGCCTAGGGATCAAACTGATGCCCTCTCCTAATCCCCATAGGCATCTAGCATGTGGTATACAAACACACATTCAGGCCCACACAAGTACACGTATAAAATAAAGACATCTGTAAGAACAAATTTTCCCTTTTTCTTCAAAGAAAGCAAACTGTTAATTTGTGCTCAAAAACTTCACAGATATTATCAACTCTAAATCTGTACTTTTCAGATATACAAGTTACTTGTCATTATTTCACTATTTGATTGAATTGTGTAAGAAAACACTTAGGTCAGCTAACCTGACTGTAATCAAGCCAGGCAATGATTCATACTTCAGCTTGGATACAAGGGAAATGCCTGGTAAGTAGTCTTATAAGTTTTCATCCATTTCTGTAGGGTAAAGTAAAAAGCACCTTTTCCGTTAATAAAAAGAAAAACCCCAGCCTTTCCCGGATGGGAAATTGTGGGCACACTGCTGTGTCCCACACATGGCTGTCCAGATGGAGAACTAATGCAGGTGTGACATGCTTTCACCAATGCCCTTGTCTCTTCCCTTAGTTGAACCACACTAGCTCAGGAAGGAACCAGAATCCACTCACTAGATCTCATTGCTCCCATTGCTCCATGAATCCCAGCTTAACCCTGACCCTGGCAACAGTGATTATGTGAGACCTGTCTCCAGGCCAGAGGAGACATGAAATAAATGCCTTGACACTTTTAATGCCTCAGCACTGTCAGTCCACTAAGGGGTACATAGGGCATGCGCCCACTAACATAAAGTAACAAGGCTTGGCTTTGCTCTGCAGAGCCTGTCTTTACCTGAGCAGCTTGTGCAGGTGACCCTTAAAGAAGGAGGCATTCTCCAGATGCAGCTCCTGGAGGCACTCCAGGTTGAGGAGCTTCGAAGCCAACCCAGAGACGATATGCCTTCTCTCCTCTAGAGAGATAACCCTCTCTTCCTGGATGTTGGAGATAGACAGCTTGCGCAGATTCATCAGGTGGCCCAGGTAAGAAATCAGATCAAGAAATTCAGCTGGATTGTGGAGGGAATGCAGGCCCAGTACTACTATATACTGCAGGTTCACATATTCCAAGTAACACTTGCAGCCCGAGAGGAATGGTAACCAAATATGAAACTCATGGCAGTACAGCTGTAACAACCCTTTCCTCTTCTCAGCCCACTGAGAGAGGCAGGACAGCTTGTTAAAGTTACCATTCCTGAGATACAAATTCACTGCCACCTTCAAGGGCTTCTTCTCTCCCTCACATGAGGTCTGTGGTAACCAGCTATCTACGGGCCCAGACAGTACATCCATAGGCTCCTGGCCCACAGACCGTAAATCCAACACTTCCAATTTGTATTCCCTGTGGAGAAAACGGAAGAGCTTCAGCAGCTAGGTAAGCACAGAATATCTACCCTGTATTTTTAATTTTTAATTCCAGCCCTGACATTGGCCTTCCATCCTCCATCTTACTTTTTTTTCCATGACCTTAAGTACATCCCTGCCCCACTTTTGTTACCCAAGGGAAGCAGGGGCTAGCCTTCAGCCACTGTTGTATCCACCATGAGCCCTGTCTACTCCACAGCCCTTCCCCAGATGGCTCAGCAATAGCCAAAGCCTCTGTAGTTCTCCAAGTTGGTGCCGTCAGAAACCTCACCATCCTTGCCTGCTCTCCCCACTGCACTTTCATGGCTGTGCTCTTGACACTCCCAGGGTACTTGAGTCTTCCTTACCGGGGGCTTTGGATAAGCAGCTTATCCACCTCCTCCAGGACAGCGTTTTCTAGGGACTCCGAGGCATTTCTCTTCTTCACAGCTCCCAAAGGGAGTCGAGGGAAGGGCCAGGAAGACACTATTTTCTTCAGGACATTCCTATGGCCACCTTCATAGGCTTGCTTAAATAGTTGTGGCAAGAGTAGGTTAGGTAACGTCTCCAAAGCCGAGATTGCCAACTTCTCGTTTCTCAACAGGCTCTGCCCAGCCAGTTCCTGGAGTGAGGGTAGGCTCATCTTGCTGGATCTTCAGGGAGAAAGATCCCAGAGAAGCATCTAGAAAAAGATCTATATTTTCATGTTAATGTTTTTAGTGCCCTACTCACTCAGAAACGCAGGCCACAATCACAGCTCATTCGACTCCCTGTTCCTTTGATTCCCAAATCCATACTGTCCCCTGCTGTTTGCAGTATCATCCCCAAGTATTAGTGGCCACAGCCAACTACACTCTCACCCACTCCCAACCAGTTTTGGAACTGGATTCCATTCCCACTGGGAAGTTAACTCCCAGTGGGACCCTGGAGGTTAACTCCAGGATAACTCCTGGGGTAATTTTTTTTTTTTCCTCAGATACTATATTGCTGGAAGTAGAGGCACAGGCCTGTAATCCTAGTACCCAAATATGAGATCTGGGGCTAGAGATGACCAAGTAGTTAAGAGCACCTGTTGTTCTTGTAGAGGACCCGGATTTGCTTTTCAGCCCTCACACGTCAGCTCCAGGGAATCTAACACCCTTTTCTAATCTCCCTGCCACTGGGCACACGTGGTGTACAGATGTATGTACGTAATAGGCAAACACTCATACACACACATATAAAATAAATCAAACCCAGGTGTGGTTGTGTACATCTTTAACCCCAGGGAGTTAAAGCATTTGGGGTCAGAGGTTAATGGCAAAATGGTCTCAATAGGGGTAGCAGAGGTAGTGAGGAACTGGCATGAGTTCAAGGCCAGCCTCCCCTACAAGTGAGTTCCAGCACAGCCAGGGCTAGTCTCAAATGTAGGGAAATCCTCTTGCTTCAGCCTCATGAGCTGGTATTACAGGCAAACACAGTTGTAAACTTTTCATTAAAATTCAGACTGGCCGGGCGGTGATGGCCCACACCTTAGCCCCAGGCAGATCTTGAGTTTGAGGCCAGCCTAGTCTATAGACTGAGTTCCAGGACAGGCTCCAAAGCTACAGAGAAAATCCTGTCTGGGGGAAAAAAAAATTCAGAAAACTTTACCCTGAATCTCAGCCCTCAGGAGACAGAGGCAGAAGGATTGTGTTTGAGGCCACCCTGGGCTACACAGAATTCCAGGCCAGGGCTACATCAGGGAGACCCTGTCTAAAAAATAATGTACAGAAGACCTTAGGAAGACATTTTCAATGTTTTAATTTTTTGGTGCTGAGAATGTAATACTGCACTAACAAGCTTTATACCCCCATACTTTAAACTACGTATTTTATTTATTGGTTTATTATTACTATTGAGACAGGGTCTCGAGCTAGATGTTGGTGGTGCACGCACGCCTTTAATCCAAGCACTCAGGAGGCAGAGGCAGGCAGATCTCTGAGTTTGAGGCCAGCCTGGTCTCCAGAGCGAATGCCAGGATAGGCTCCAAAGCCACAGAGAAACCCTGTCTCGAAAGTTTCTCTGTGGCTTTGGAGGCTGTCCTGGAACTAGTCCTTGTAGACCAGGCCGTGTGCCACCACCGCCCAGTGGGTAAGGGGTTACTTACAGGAGCCTAAAGTACCCCAGTCTCACCCCAGCATGACATCTCCATACCTCCTAGATGGAGCCCTTCCTTTCAGCTAATCACCTACCTCCAAAGTCTCCTCAGACCAGCAGTTAAGGCAGAATTATATACAGCTGGGATGGGGGCATAGGTGGTGGTTGGCAACCCCTCCTAGGATGAAAGGTCAATTGGCATGATCAAGTAACCTCAACTGCTCTGATTAAACAGGAAGATCTCATCGAGGCTAGCCTGGTGCACATACAGAGTTCTAGGATAACCAGAGCTATGTAGAGACCCTGTCTCAAAAAAAAAAAAAAAATAATAATAATACAAAACTTAATGTAAAATAAATAAAAAACAGAAATTAAAATGGTTAGACAAGGCTGCTCATGTTCATAAAAGCCCTTAACTGAGAGGCACTGCTTGCTAATGAAGCAATGGCAGCCTGATTATCTTTGAATGAGGTCAGTCAGGGCTACACAGCTGAGAATTTGTCCCAAAGAGGTGGTGGCCTTGGAGCGATGGCTCAGTGACAAAGGGGGCTGGCTGTTTTCCCCAAGGACTAGGGTTGAATTCACAGCACCCACATGTTGGCTCATAGCTCCGGCTCTAGGGGGAACATCCTCTTCTAGCCTTCTCAAGCATTTGAGAGTTCTAGGACAAGCCTGGGATACATAAGATTTGTTTTAAAACAAGTAAACATTCTGTTCATCTAAGTATCTGAATCAGGGCAGGGAGGTGGTGGCGCACTTTAATCCCAACATTCCGGAGGCAGAGGCAGGCAGATCTCTGTAGTACAAAGCCAGCCTGGTCTACAAAGCAAGTTCCAGAACAGCCAGGGCTATTGGACAAAGATACCCTGTCTCAAAATCTCACGTCCCCCCAAAAAGGAGTCCAAATCAGAGACTGTTAACATATCAAGGGACATGCAGTCAAGGTACACGTACTCAAGGCTACTAGAAACCAGCTGTACAGAGCAGTGAGACCTTCCGCTGCTCAGGCTAGCCCAGAAAGCCTGGGCTCAAGAAGTGATCCTCCAACCTGCAGAAGGCAATAGGTGAGATTCCAGGCTAGCAACAGAGCAGAGGTATGTCAACTGAGGTGAGCGACTTACCAGATGTGATATGAGAGCTTCCAATGCAAGTCAGGCCGTGTGTGACTCCAAGTTCCCAGACTGTGTCTTCTCTGGCTCCCGTGGAGTTTTTATGCCGGTCACTCACTCCTCCCCTCCAGGGCTGGTGCGCCTAATCCAAACTGCTGTTATCTGATTAGATGTTTGGAACTCTGCCCAGTGGTCCTGTTTTGTCTTTCCTTGTATTGAGTGATTGAAATGGAAATACTTAATGGAATTCAAGGGCCATTTGTGAATTCACTCCACCGACATTGACACTTCCCATTGAATGAGCTCCATTGGGCAGAAAAACAGCAAAAAGTTTCTTCTGTTTCTCTACATGGACTGACAAACAAACAAACAAAAACACCAGAAATGGCCTGTAATCCCAACACTTGGCATGTGACAATTGGAGGATTAGGAGTTTGAGGCCAGCCTAAACTACATAGTGAGGGCCAGCCTGGGTTGCACGAGACCCTGTCTCAAAAACAGGGCCAGGAAGATGCCTCAGCTGGTAAAAGCACTTTATGCCAAGCCTGATTACCTGAGTTGGAATCACATGGTAGAAAAAAACAGCAACAATCCTTTAAACAGAGGCCTGGAGGTGGTTTCACACGCCTTTAATCCCAGCACTGGGGTTGCAGAGGCAGGCAGATCTCTGTGAGTTCAAGGCCAGCCTGGTCTACAGAGTTCCTGGACAACCAGAGCACATAGAGATACCCTGTCTGGGAAAAAAAATTGATTCTTTTAGAGTTGGTTTTAGATTTTATTTGGGTATGATGATAATTTTTTAAAATCTTAAAGACAGGGATGGGGTGTGTGGCTCTGGGCTCCATTCCCAAGCTTCACAAAGGAAATATTCCAATAATACATTTCAAAATGACATGCACCCAAGTGAAAGATTTTTTATAATATCTTCACTTTCAAAATTGAGCAATCTGTATACAGTTGAGGGGAACAGTGAAACCAGGGGCTGGATAGATGGCTCAGCACTGACTTTTTTTTTTTTTTTTTTTTTTTTTTTTTTTTTTTTTTTTTTTGAGACAGGGTTTCTCTATGGCTTTGGAGGCTGTCCTGGAACTAACTCTTGTAGACCAGGCTGGTCTCGAACTCACAGAGATCCACTTGCCTCTGCCTCCTGAAGCACTGACTGTTCTTGCAGTAGGCGTTTGGTTGCCAGTATCCACATGATGGCTCCCAACCATCTATAACTCCAGTTCCAGGGGATCTGATGCCTCTTCAATGTATGTACAAGGTATACATACATACATACACTCAGGCACATGCACATAAAAACAAATGTTTACACCGGGCGTTGGTGGCTCACGCCTTTAATCCCAGCACTTGGGAGGCAGAGGCAGGCGGATTTTGAGGCCAGCCTGCTCTACAAGAGCTAGTTCCAGGACAGCCTCCAAAGCCACAGAGAAACCCTGTCTCGAAACCTGCCCTCTCCCCACAAAATAGTAAAATCAAGGCCCATGTATCTACCCACCCCAAGGATAATGGTGTCCCCTTTCTTCTCATGCTGACCCCACATTCCTATCTTTTCTTTCTTGGTTTTGGTTTTTGTTTTGTTTTTCAAAATGAGATTTCTCTTGTGTAGCCCTGGCTGTCTTGGAACTCTGTAGACCAGGCTGGCCTCCAACTCCGAGATCTGCCTGCTTCTGGCTCCCAAGTGTTCTGAGGCACCAACACACACCTTTCCTAACCAGTTATATAAATGACAAAGAAGAATGCAAGATAGGATTAAGGGTTGAATGTCCACCAGGAATGCAAGATTGTCTTAACATCTGAAAATCTACTGATGGCCAGGCAGATATGCAGGGGCATACTTGTAATCCCAGAACTCCAGAGGCAAAGCAGAGGGGTCAAGAGAATTTGATGTCAACACTAGGCTACATAGTCAACCCTATCTCAAAATAAAGAAAATACAAACAATTTCTTGTTGTTCTTGTTTTGAAACAGGGCCTCTCAGCATAACTGGGGCTGTCCGGGAACATTCTATGTACACCATACTAGCCCCAAGCCTGCAAAGATCCACCTGCCTCTGACTCCTGAGTGCTGGAATTAAAGGCATGTGCCACCACACCTGGCCCAACAAAAAACAAAACAAAACGAAGACTTTTTTTTTTTTTTTAAGGAAACAAGCAAGAAAGCTTGACTTAACTTGAAAAATCAATTGCTCCTGAGCACAGTGGTGGTTCATACCTGCAATCCCAGAAATTTGGGAAACTCAGGCAAGAAGATTGCCATGAGTTTGAGGCCAGCCTGGACTATGTGCATGCTCCAGGCCAACTGTGGCCATAGTATAAAATCATGTCTCCAAACAAAAACAAAACAAATCAGTTGCTACATTTAACTATACCAATGAAAATAAATGTTATCTCAGTTAGTCCAAGAACATGAT